TTCACAGCATTGGCAGATCTAAGTTAAAAGTATGAAATGCCTTGTTGATTGATACTAACATTTTCGCCCGTGGCTGGGACAACATCGGGATAGGTGTCTCGGTAACTTACTGTAGCGACATACTTGCACTACCTATCTTTTTCATTTTCATTTTCATTACGTCATACACATTAAATTGCCGTCATCATTTAGATAACCTTTCGTGACAGTTCTAGCGAAGACAAAAGGTTGAACTCATCGCGAGGGAAACAAAATATTGTTTATAATAATTATGACTTTAGAATTTACAATTTTATATATACATGTCATGACATACAATTTATTTTAAAAATTATATTTTCATGAATTCGTATTTATTTATTTATTTATTGATGGGATATACCACATATAAAAGATCCCATAATTGGTGACCCCGTAGAATGCCCGACCTTCAAAGATTTTGAGGATACATCTATCTGATACTATTTGTTGGTGAGATACTTATGGGTAGTACGCGTTAGCGACGGCTTTATTTTTGGCCGTACCTCGGTTTTTTGAGCCTGCTGCGGTTCCCGATAACCCGGATTCTTTAACGGGCCCTACTAAGAAGAAATGTAGATCCAGTACGCCTCCGGAAAATTCCGAAAAGTTCCGAACAAGATACGTGGATTGGACTCCAGATACATTAAACCCGGTGAGTTTAATCTTTTTGTCGCTGACTGCCACGAATTGAAAATATTAATTTTTTCTATCATTAGTTATCATTTTTGACATTATTTTCATATTTTTGACCATGTAAAAAGCATTTTAACCGACTATTTATTTAATAAACTCTACAAATGACCAATTTTAATCATGACGACTTAATTATGAAATAAACGTACAAAATAACGAAACGCAAATAAACACTACATAACCGAAGTCATGCAACTAGCATTTTTTATTACGGACCCTAATTGTCCAAATATATTTAATAGCATTTTTTATTACGAACCGTAATTGTCCAAACGTACAACCAGTAGTTTTATTAAGGACCTTAATTGTCCAACTACATGTAACTAGTATATTTAATATTTTTTTACTCTATTAAGGACCATAATTGTCCAAAAGAACAATAAAATCAGTTTTTACTTATATCTTGTATTGACAGTATTCTTCGCATAAGCAAGAACCTGTCTGCATAATAGTAATTACTAAATAAAAACAAATAACTTATCAAATAGGTACATTTTTTTTGCACATTGATAAAAAACAAATAACTGAATGAAAAGGAAATTTTAACTTACCAAATAGGCACATTTACACATTGATATTTAAAGAATAAAGACTTAAAAAAAAAAAAAAAAAAAAATATTTCTATTTGTACGTCATGATTAACATTACTTTTTATTAGATCGTAGAATTTTTTAACTGTTAATGCCTTCTTATCGTTGGTGTTTTTCTATTTAGGACACTAACTGTCCTAATAGTATGGTAATTCTTAATTGTATCAATGGCAGTATTCTTTATATAATAGAAAGAACCTGCTAGATAACATAGAATTACTAAACACTTAACAACGGGGCAATTTCGATAATCAAAGAATGGATAATTCATCCAGAACACGATCTAAAATACAACATTATTTATAGAAAATACTGACATTACTGATGACATATTTTTGACAATTAAATTAAAAATTTCAATCAATTTCATATACAGAGTCATATTAAAATTTTGTTTTGATTAAGGTGAAGGTACTCGTAGATATAGAAATATGCAACAATCAACACCTTATCGACTTTTGATGACTGACAATACATTTTTTATATAAGGGGGAGGTATGTAGCGACATACTTGCACTACCTATCTTTTTCATTTTCATTTTCATTACGTCATACACATTAAATTGCCGTCATCATTTAGATAACCTTTCGTGGCAGTTCTAGCGAAGACAAAAGGTTGAACTCATCGCGAGGGAAACAAAATATTGTTTATAATAATTATGACTTTAGAATTTACAATTTTATATATACATGTCATGACATACAATTTATTTTAAAAATTATATTTTCATGAATTCGTATTTATTTATTTATTTATTGATGGGATATACCACTTATAAAGATCCCACACTTACCCTATTTTGTCACCAGAATATTCAACTCTAGGTGGGTAGTAAAGCTGTATAGCTTCTCCATTACCTTGTCCCTACTAACCCTTCTTCAGTTTTGCATCGAGTGTGTTTGAACCTAGTAATGCTCAATGTTTGTTATCTGATGAGTTATTGTTTTTAAAATATTTATTTTATTTTTGCCTTGCAGTATTAGATATTGTTTTTTTATATAATGTATTGAATATTATTGCATATATTTTCCTGTGTTTAACTCAAATTGAATATTATTTCATATATTTTTCTGTGTTTAACTAAATCATCGAGTAACTAAATGGGTTTTTTATATATATACTTAATTTGTCAATTGTATCCAAATTGACGCTTGATTGGTTTAATTGTATTTATTATAACTTTGGGGTTTTCTTGCTGGTTCTTTCCCCTCATATGATAAACTAATTATTTTTTATTGCATCGAACCAGACCTATATTTAATCTTTATAAATATATTTTATATACTTATAAATTTTTACTTTCTGATTCTGTCATCTATAATATTTTCAATAAAGATTAGATATACATCAATAGATATTTTCTTTTAACCTTTACCACTCCCTCAATAACACGTAAGTAGCCAATAGATAAAGAATCTTTCAGTCTGTCACTCGTGGTGTCCTAGTCACTTCATAGTCGATCACGCCGCCACTTGATTTATCATACTTTTATAAAAGAGAGAGATATTAGTTAAGTTGTCTCTCTTTATTTCAGTTGGTTACACTACAATATTATATTATATAATATAATATAATATAATATAATATTATAATATATTATATTATATTATATTATATTATATTATATTATATTATATTATATTATATTATATTATATTATATTATATTATATTATATTATATTATATTATATTATATTATATTATATTATATTATATTATATTATATTATATTATATTATATTATATTATATTATATTTTATATTAGGAATGGCGCTGACACAGAATAAAGATGGCATCGATTTTGTCATCGCATATGCCAGCAGAACTCTAAGTCCGTTTTACCCTGCATAAAATTCGGTATGCGTTTTACGGTGTGTTTACGGTTTTGGTGCATTAAAAAAAATAGGGCTTCCACGGCCTCTTATCCTTTGACATACATTTCTCCTACTCAAATCTGATGTTTTCTTCTTCTTTTTTTGTAAAATTTATAAAAATCCAGTGTTGTCAGATTACTAAACTTGATTATCTAATTCGTATGCGGTGCCTAGAAAATAACCATTAGTCATTTAAACGAGATTTGTAAATCTAGATTAAATTTTAAAACGGTGCATATGGGCGTAAGCCACATTGTTTAACACTGGTTGAATTAGAAAGAAAATAGGCAGTAAATGTCAGGGAGTACCAAAGAGCACTTCGTGCCTTTGGCGCACTCCTGGTGACGCCTCATTTTAAGGCTCAGAGTTTCTGGTCTCTTCTTCTCTCCGACTCCAGCCTTCAACTTTTTGCGGGGTACCTTTTATTTTCTTGAAAAGGATACGGTATCGGTTAGTTCGAGAAAAGGGTACTAACGGACGTTAGTTTGAATGTTCGACCTCTTTTTGAATTACCTGCCAACCCCTGAAAGCAATCGTCAACCTTGGTATTAGGCAATCCAAACCTCGTGACATTTTAGCTGTCAAGATGGCGCTTGGTTGGCAGACATTGTTAAAAATTCCTATGGTTTATATTGTGTTCGGCTACATTTTGAAAGTTTTATTGTTTTTATTGGATTATTTGATCAATTTGAAAATCGTTATTAGTTATTTGGAGAAGTTAAATTGAATATTTACGATAATTCAATATGCAAAGTTCATATTTTAAGACATTATTGCAAGCGAACCCTGACGTTGATCAGAGGTAAATAAGGGGATTTTACCCTTATTTTATGCATTTTTCTTAGTTAATCAGCAAACGTTTATGCTTGAAACTAATATAATTTGTTCGTAGGTATCTATTGAAGCTGACATTGATTAAGAATTTGGACCCTTTCACATTTTCAACTACCGATTTAGACTACAGTGTTAATGGCACTCCACCAGTCACATGTCCCGATATATTTTCATATATTTTGTTGACTCACAGTTTTTACACACATTAGCAGATGAAAGCCTACAAATCTCTAAACTATTTTTCATCAGGTTTCGTCTTAAAAGTAAGAACAATGATTTTGAATGAATTTTGGTTGAAGAGGTAATTTTTTTATGTTTTTCATGATCTATTTCATATAAACATTTTACATTGTAAAAGGTATATTAATGTAGTTAGTCATGTTTTTTACACTTTTTTTTTAGGTCAAACATTCTCAAAGAGCCAATGCTAAACCCCTTGAGGCTTGGTGTATCATCACTAATGATGGTTCGACTTCAAGTGGCCAGTGTACATGTATGGCTGGTAATAGCGAAGTATGTAGCCATGTTGGTGCTTTGCTCTTTGCTGCTGAATATGCAAACAGAAATCAAAGTACGGTTTCCTGTACTGATGTAGCTGCTTTGTGACTCATGCCATCACTGTTCACAGCAATTCCTATTGTCCCAATAGCCGAAATGACTTTGTTACAGTGGCTTCTGTACAACAATGCAAAACTATACCCATGATGTCTAAAGAAGGTGTAGTAAATTTATTAAGAAGGGTTGAAAGTTTGTCTCGTACTGCTAGTCTCATGAGGATAATGGAACCATTTGGAAGTAAACTACAGGCAGCCTCAGAAGTAACGTTACCAAACAAATTTAGTATTTTTCAAGAAATATATATTTGTAAAAATTGTATTGAATTAATGGAAATCTCGATATGTCTTTGACTGCAGAGCAAATATCATTAATTGAGCAGTATACCCAAGGACAACATGCAACTAACAATTGGTTTTTACAAAGAGCAGGAGAATAACTGCTTCAAAACTGAAAGCTGTTTGCAGGACAAATAAAAAATCGCCTTCTCTGTCGCTTATTAAAAGCATATGCTATACAGTAAACTCTGCATTTTACACAAAAGCAACATAATGGAGATTAAGAGCATGAATCTGTTGCTGTTGGAAAATACCAAAAAGTAATGGAGGAACAACATGAAAATTTAATGATCAACGATGTGGGCCTCGTTGTAAGTTCCAGGTAGCCACAATTGGGAGCATCTCCAGATAGAATAGTGTATTGTGAGTGTTGTTTAGGAGGAGTGTTGGAAGTAAAAAGTCCTTAACTTTCATATAAAAATGGCACTAAAGATATTAGGGAATATTATAGTTTTAAAAACTCTTGCCTAATTCTAAAAGGTAATAAAATCATATTAAAACGTGATCATTCGTACTATTATCAAGTACAAATGCTTGTGTGCAATTTGAAATATAACGACTTTGTAATTTGGTCTCTATTTATTTTTTTTACTGAAAGAATATTTCCAGACTTACATTTTTGGAATACAAATTCAAAAATTGCCTTAAAATTTCATACCGAAATTATAATGCCAGAACTTTTGGGTAAATATTCAACAAGAAAAGAAGGATCTACAAAATTGATTTTTTGGTGCAAATGTAAGAGTGTTGATGATGGAACGCCAATGATTTGCTGCGATAATAACAAGTGCCAAATTAAATGGCTTCATTTTATATGTGTAGGCCTTTCAAATATGCCAAATACAGAATGGATTTGTGACTTTTGTAAATAGTATCAATTTTATACTATGCTAGACCGAAAAATTATCTGGACATTTTATTTTCGTCCCGCAAAGTTTTTTCTTCGGTTTTTAACTCTTTAAACAATAATTTTTGTTGGTATGAAAACAAGTTTTAATTTAATTTGTGAAAAATATACATTATTAGATAAGGTAACTGCAGGTAATATGGCCATGTAGACCAATATGGCCATGCCTTTCATTTCCTACTAGAAATTTATTTACAGCGATCTGCAACACCAAATGCTTAACTTAGTCTAAAAAGTACCCGAGGAAATAGATAGATGTCGCTAGATGGCCTGCAATATATTCATTGGCGCCATAAGCGTATTTGGTGGTAAGAGTGTCAACAGGTTATTAACACAGTTAGAGTAAAAATCATAATTTATTTGCTTAATCTGGTAAGTTTTTGGTTTCTCTCTTATGTTGTACTTATGTAAGAAGTGTGGGAAAGAGGATAGGCATGTTAGTTTTTCGTTTATTTATCTTTTTAAAGTTAATATTTTGGTAAACATTTGTGGATGTCATTGTATAGCAATATGGCCAGGGGGAAAGTAGAGCAATATAGCCATGGCCATATACCTCTACACGTGGTAATATTAATGAATCAAGACACTGAATCAAAGTATTTTGCAGGTATAAAAAAATGCCACGTTACCAATGTAAAGGATTGCGTAGTACATGGGCTACAGAGAATTTGTCTGCGGCATTAACGGCGGTAGGGGACGGTATGGCAGTTAAGAGAGCAAGTGATACATACAAAATACCACGAAGAACACTTAGACGGTATTTAGAAGAAGGAAAGAAAGATAAATCAGCTTTAAGACGAAAGACAATACTTACAAAAATACAAGAAGAAGAATTGGTTCAACGAATTATTCGGCTTTCAGAAATTGGATACCCATTAACCGCAAGAGTTCTTCGCAGATGCGTTTACCGATTTACTCAAGCTAATAATATCCCAAATCCTTTTCAGAATGCCAAAGAAATGGCTGGTCGTTACTGGCTTCGTGGATTTATGAAACGCAATCCCCAAGTTAGACCTAGGCGAGCACAAAACTTAAATCAAGCTAGAGCCCAAAAAATGAATAAGTTCATTGTAGAAGATCATTTCACAAAGCTAGGCAATACTTTGAGAGAAATGAACATTTTTAACCAGCCTGAACGGATCTACAATATTGATGAGAAAGGCTGTAGATTAAGCCTTCACCACCAACAAAGAGTTCTGGCGAAAAAAGGGACAAGAAGTGTGCATATTGTGGCCAATGAGCATGGAGAGAATGTAACAATTGTTTCGTGTGGTAATGCTCTTGGTTCATCAATACCTCCTATGGTGCTTTTCAAAGGAAAACGTCTGAAGCCAGAATGGGTTGACTCCCTACCTCCAGGGGCAGTTGTGAATATGACAACAAAAGGGAGTATGAACATCGAAACTTTTTGTGCTTGGATTCATCATTTTGCAAAATTCAAGGTTCCCGGACCTTGTCTAATTATATTTGATGGAGCAAAAAGTCATTTAGACCACAGGATAGTCGAGACTGCGGATCAATACGAGATTACCTTGTACTGTCTTCCCAGTAACACCACACACGAACTTCAGCCGATGGACAAGGCAGTATTCCGAGCATTTGAATATTACTGGGACGACGAAGTTATGAAGTATTTTTCTAATCACCAGGATCGTGTTATTACCAAACAACGCTTTGGCGCAATCTTTTCTACAGTCTGGGATAAAACCATGACTCCTGCTAATATCAAATCTGGTTTCTCGTCCACAGGAATTTATCCTTTTAACCCAGATGCAATTCCGGATATAGCATTTGCCCCCAGTACCGTCACGAATCAACTACCACAAACACAAAAGGTCGTAAAACCACCAGAATCACATAGCGGAGCTTCCACTATGGGAGATAATAGTTTCCCTTCAACATCGGGAACTAAACAAAAAAAAACCCTCCGACCTACTATCCCTTCCCCGGATACTAGTGACTCTGAATCTTCTTTTAGTCTCCACGATTTCAGTACGGATGAAGATTCTGAATCTATAAACATGGAAAATGACTCCTACGAAACCTGTAACGTCTCATTTACCGACATGCTTAATACTCCGGAAGAAGCAGTAATAAAGGCCAAAAAACCCCGAAACCCCGCAATTAACAGCAGGGCGCAAGTAGTCACGCGAGATTTATTTACTAGCACTTTTAAATCAATCGACGATACAGTAAGCACTAGTAAAAAAAGTGTTACCAAAAAAACAATTTCTTGTTCTAAAGGAAATACGGGGTCCGCTACGAATAAGGAGTCTAAAAATAAAACAGAATCCTGGTACTGTAAATTATGCTGTGAAGACAGGGTAGCTAATATGCGTTTATGCACTGCCTGTAAAGAATATGTCCATGAAGAGTGCATGGGACTTACCGCAAAAGACAAGATAGAAGTTTTTCTTTGTCCAAATTGTGATGGAAAATAAAAATACTCGTCGGTGTTTTCATATTTTTTATTTAAAACTATGCTTATGAGTTTAAGTTTTCCTTTTGAGTAATAATTATTTTTTTATGATAGTAAAATTTTTAGATTTAAGTATGTGGCCATATTACCGACCCTGGGTTGACAATATGGCCAATTGTAACGTATTTTTAAAATAGCCATAAAATTTAAATTTTTAAGAATTTACCTATTTTTTAAATAAAAACCTGTGCTTAAGACTTTAGTTTATTTAATGTATTATCCGGAATATGATATATTTTCATCATCTGCAATTTGGAAGGATAATTCCTTAGGATGGCCATATTACCTGCAGTTACCTTATTATTAATTGAAATAATTATTTTGATTTCAATTATCAAACTTTTTCTGAAAAAACTCATATCCGGTTAATTTTGCGGTTGAGTATATTTACAAAAAAAAATATTTTTGTTATATTAATTGTTAATAAATTCAGTGTAGTAAGTTTGACTTTTATTTTATTTATTAAACTATTAATAAAAAAATCCTTAATTATATAAATAGACCAGGGGCCCAATTACAGGATAATGTAAAAAAATCAAAACTTTGTCATTATTTCACTAAAATAAAGATATTTGACTTCTGTTTAAATTATTTTTAAAACAAGCAAAAAGTTGTTCTTGTTTTTCAGAATAATACAAGTGTTTTCCATAAAGTTAGATCCAGCCATTGAGACACTAACGTTTGAATTGGAGAAAACTCACATTTTACCACGACTACCAACCAGTATCGTCTATTATAAAAAGCAGTTGAATTTATTTAATCAAGGAATATATTGTGCTAGCAGTGGTAAAGGATTTTTTACTTTTGGCTGGAATATGAAGCGAGTCGCGGAACGCAAAAAGTGAGATCATGTCTCATAAAGTTTATTTTTCAGCATTTAAAGACTACAGCCTCCAGATTGATACTCTGGGCAGATTCTTGTATGGTCAAAACCGTATCATTAAAATGGTTTTAATGCTTCAACATATTTTTCAAAATCATTTTACTCTTAAAACTATTACCTTACGATTTTTACAACCCGGTCACACTTTTTTGTTGAATCATTCTTAGTTTGAAGGCGCTGAATGTGCTTTACAAACTCATAATCGTCTCTACACAGATAAGGACTACATAACAAATTCGCGACGCAAAAATCCGTTTGTAGTAACCAGGCTAGGTGAAAAAATATGAATATAATAGTAAAAGGTCATTGCACTTAGTCATAGTTCAATTAATGTATATTTTTACTTTCAAAATGTAAACGCTCTTTACTCTAAATGGCTTGCATGTGACTTTAAACTCTATTGCATAACATTATCCAAATGGTGTTAATTGTCAGTCTTCTTATTTACATCAGTGAAGGAAACCCAACTATTCACCGTTCAACAGTCCACTACAGTCAAAAGACGTATATTAAATAAATGTAGGGAGAATCACCTTTTCGCAATACTTCCATTAAAAAAGCGCTGCAATCTCAGCAGCTAATTAAAAAAAAATAATTTCAATATGCCCCATTAAAAAAAATTGACATGTTTTGGTAATTTTGCGACAAACTTTTATTAAAGCTGCGGTACTTGCGCCAGCCATTTTGTAACAAAGCAAGTATTCAATACATTGTACATAGATAGCGATAACTGTATCGCTAGCTTGATTTATAATTTTATTATTAAGTGTACTTGTTTTTATATCTAGGTTGTCAAGACTAGGTACTCAGATATAGAAAAACCAGAGATCTAGTGACTCTCATAAATCATATCATTTAAAAAAGCTAGAAATAACAACGATCACTGTTACATCAAAGGAGAAAAAACTCACAAAATAACTGAATGTACAAAGTTTCCAGATATTAAAAATAGTTTATATTGAGGGAAAATGGGCTTTTTATAGGTTCTTGGCCGCCATTGTCCTCACATCGGGTGTTGGTTTTGCTGTCAACAGTTCATGAGACCTTCGACACTCGTACACTGGTTCATTGAAACACATTTATTTTAATAGTTGCCTTTATTTTGTTCAGTTCACTCAATCAACTATTGCCCACTGGGCTTCTGCCAATTATTGCCACCACTCTGAGCACACATAATACTTGGATTTCCACATTATTACAAGACAAAACACTGGACTTATTAGCACGTCCGTTTACAAACGAACATCATCAACAAGGGAGCTACATCATCAAGCGAGAGTCTTCGCGCGCCGGTCTTACTTCCGGCATATATGACCATCCAGCTGCGCAGGGGTGCGAAATGCGCCCGTCACAAGCGTAGACCGCTACCTTGTGCCAACCGCACTCCGCCCCCTCGCCGCTAGATGGGGTTACGGGTACTGATTTAGCCGTTAATTATTCTTTGGGGTCGTATCAGTTGGAACTTGAATTCAGGCCTGTAATTCAAATTCCAACATATATTGTAGGCACAACATAGAAGAGGAACTCAGAAATACAGACTTATCTCAAGAAATACAAAAACAAAATGAAACCATAAGCTTCCAAAATATCTCTTATTATGAAGCAGCCAAAATAATAGCTCCAAGAGGCCAGCCTACTGAAAATCAACAAGTGCTCCCAACGGTGAGTAACTTTCCCTCATTACCAAATAAAAACA